AATGATATTGTTTTCTGGCTTTTGTGAATTATCATTTTTAAACCTATCTTTTTTGTTCTTTGCTTGCTCTTTTTCCTTAGCACCTGCCTCTTTCAAAGCCGTTAAAAAAACTCCAACATAATCATTAATCTCACTACTAGTAGCCAATTTATCGATATCTTCTTCCCAATTTTGATATTTCCCGTTAGCCAATGTGGTTAGATTGATGTATCGAAGGTTATATTTGTCATTTAAAACCTCAAATATTTTTTGTTTGACTTCCTCTCTTAATTTTTCCAATTCGCTTTTGGGGATATTAGTGTTGGAACGGTTTTTTTTCTCATCTAGTTTTCTTTTATTATTGTTATATATCCGATAAATGTTGGATTTTAAATTTAACTTCACTTGTTTAATTTTCTCATTGTTAGCATTAATTTGACTATTGTCAGGACTATTAAGCGGTTGGGATTCATCCAAGAATTGGAAAGTCTCTTCTTCAAAGAAATCCAGAGCAGTGTCTAGAAATCGGGGCAAGTTTAGCCCTCATTGTTGAGCTTCTTGGACAACTTTTTGGTTTTTTTCAATTACTTTCAGAAGTTCTTCGGACAAAAGTGCCATAACTTCCTCCTCCTGGGTTCATTCCTGGTTTCTTCGTTGAACCTCGGGAAAAAGTGATCCAGATGAAGAGACTACTTGAATGTCATCAAAATGATGTCCAATATTCAAATTTCCATCATTTTCTATTGAGTTCTGACCAAATTGAGCATTAGTGATAGTGATGGTATTGCCAGCAGAGAGGTCCCCATTCTGGTAGTGAATACTAGCCGTATCTCCCGATATGGTTATATGAGATATTCATGCTCCATTTATCATAATGTGAGGATTTAGACTAATTCAAAAGTAATCTATGTCTGGAAGCACCTTTTCGACCGTTCCAATGGTAAATTGAATAGTTTGAGTAGTAGGGGGGGGGTTATTATTGTGTCCGTCTCCATTATAAGTTTCTCCCATTGCTCGATGATATAAACAGACATTATTAGTTACTGTGTAGGTATCAGGCTGCATAGCTCCATATGGATAAGGGTCGGCAAAAAGAGTGTAACAACCTCTAATTTTACAAGAATTAGGAATTAGATTTTTTAGTTCCTCAAATTGCTCTTCGGTAAAAGCAGCCGGGTGAAGACTATTGCCGCTTTGATGGAATATTTTTCTAGTTCTAGTTCGACCATTAGAACCCGTTAGCAAAGAAGTAATTAAATTAGTACCTGGTATATTGATTAGGTCGGTAGTGGATATAGGACGTGACCATCATTCTGGTTGCTCACCATTATTTAAATGAGGTGATTCATCTTGAGTGTTGTCCCCAAGCCTAAATTGATGAGGACGATTTGCCATATAATTTCTAATAGTTTGAAAAATTTGTTCCCAATTCTCAATATTATTTTTACCAATGCATAAAATATTTCCATTTTCGTCATACTCAACAGCATTAATAAGATTTCCGGTGCGGTCAACACTTAGACTAAAATCTTCATTTATTCACTCCAATACCTTTCGTTGATTTTCTTGTTTTACCATTTGCTAGTTATTTACTGATTATTAACTTCAATCCTGGCAACTAATTGTTCCTGTTCGTTTCTTTGTAAAATTTCCTCCAATTGTTCACGAAGAATTCTGTTTTGTTCTTTTTCTTGTCTTAACTTTTCTTGAAAGTCCATTTGAACTTGGAAGATTTCAGCAAGTTCCTCGGGAGAAATACGTTCATTGAGTTGCTTTTCTAATTCTCTTTCCTTTCTTGTTGGCAAGTTGAAAACAACCCCCTGGGGCGGATTTCTGAGAATTTCTATATCTTCTTTGGTTAGTTCGGGATTATTTAGAAAAGTTAATTCGAGGTGTAAGTAAGGGTCATAGGCATTTTCTGGATTGGTAAAATAACGACCTCCAGGAAAATTGCTGGGCGGATTATCTTCTCCTGTGTAACTTCCTCCCCCTATTTCTTCTTTCCATTCTTCTGTTACTGTTCTAAATTTTCTCTGGTTGAAACCCGAATTAGAAAAAGTAACCTTTTTCAATTTAGAATTATTGCTTAAATCTCAGCCTTTCATTTGTGGAACATTTTCGAGGAGCAAGTATTCCAAACTAATAAAACTTCGCAAATCCAAAAACCCCCCCACTTTAATAACTTCATCAAAATTTCGTGGCCTAATTTTAACTTCCTTAATTTCTCCTCTTTGTCCAGAGGGATATTTACTGTCTAAAAATTGTTCCAATGT